GTAATAGTCTAGGACTGCCCGACATGGTTGAGAAATATTAATCATACTTATCATATACCCAAGCATGTAATTATTGTAATTGACATCGTGGCAAGATTAAGATTTGGCATTTAACGCTAGCGACTGTTTCGATAATACTATCACAGGTGTTCCAAAACGCTATCAGCCAGGTCCTTCCTGCCAGCGGCGGTCAGGGCTGCTGCCAAGGCGCTTACGTTTACTGACGCCCCCTGGCGGCGCCTCCACTGCACCAGCATCGAGAAGATGCTGTCCTCGGTGCTGAACGGGTTATCACTCTGTCAAGAGTAAAAATCAAAGTCAAATTAACTCTGTCAATAGGGTTTTCTTTGCAGGGTTAGTTTTGATACAGATGCAAAAGCATGATTTGCACCAGTCTTTAATGGGTCTCTTATGTACTCAGTGTCATTCAAAAAAGTACAAATATCATTTGCCAGTAGCAACTAAAAAGTAAAATCTATGCAATAGGTCGGATATATTTATGTCGTGCAAAATATGTGTATTGCAGCGACTAATAAATATCTTTAACGTTATCATTGGCGTAGCTCACTTACTTGTAAGCGCTGGATTTCTGCCAGGGTGAATCCTAGCTCAATGGCAAGACTTTTCCATTCCTTCCCGAGCTGCTTTGCAAGGCATAACATTCCTACGTCACTGAGAAGGCCTATCAAAAAAATGGGTAACATGACAAGTTCACCTGTACGTGTACGTGCTTCAAGCGTTAGATCTATGTTGTACCTGACATAGTAATCGTTAGGAAGGTGCTAAAATAGTTGGCTAAATTATCTGTTCAGCAGTTAGACAGTCGGTCAAAATCCCGACATTTTGAAGAATTCTTGGAATCAGGAACTGTCCCGGCTGAGTATGAAATAGGACAAATTTTGTAGTAAATGGCATTCCATTTTCATCTAGAATACCTTACCTGGATTGGACTTCCGGGGTGGTGAAGAGGGATACACCAAAGCTGGGTTGATGTCGTCACCGGTACGGGGGCAAGTCAGGTGAACAGGACGGTCTGTATACAGCACCTCTCCGGGAAAGTGACCGATTTCCCGGGAGGACAAATTCGACCATTCCTGACTGTCCAGCCTCCCGAAACAATGTCCGCAGTCCACGAACAAATACGACAACACACCTGGCCATTCCTTGAGCAGTCCAGCCGCTTTGTTCACGATAGGCATGAGATCTGCCCATCCTTGGTCCAGCTCACGCCCCGGTACACGTGTGGCAAGAAGTAGATATGTCACGTTATGTTCCTTCGTGCGCTGCAGCAACAGGAGCCTGTCGTTTAATGTCCTCACGAGAGTTCCGTCCTTCCATTCGGTAACCCTAGTCACGAGATCATTGATCTGTACAGACAAGCGTTCAAACAAACCTACAGGGCAGTAACTGATGATTTCAAACCGAACCCTAACTTCTACCTGTCTGTCTTTGATGGCCGAGCTTACCCACAACTTTTTGTATATTTGGGTGGGGCTGTTCTCTAGGAACCATGGGAAACGAAAGCAGTTCATGGCACCACGGGAACCAGGTGGTTGAACCAGTTTTGCCGCAGTTTCTCAGTTCCCGCGCTGACTCAGGGATTTTTCATTCTTTGACGAGGCGGTTTTCTGACCAGTGCACTCAACAACGGTACGTAAATATTATATATAGATTTTCCAAAATCATATCCAGCTGCTTGTGTAACTGCTTTTTGACATATCGTAATACCTGGTATTCTAACCTTCATCGACGTATCTTTTCGAGAATATCTTGCACATTGGAATGATACAGACACTCTTCAGGCAGCTGTATTTCCCACTAGGGCTGTATCACTGGGACGACACACGTTTTGAACAGATGCATTTCCCCTTATGTCAATGCTATGGATCCTCTATGTCATTGTAATAACTGAATTTCCCCTGTTTCATCGGAATAACACAGTAACAAAAGCTAAACGAAAACATTTGGTCCTCTTTTCTAATAAAAGTAGGTCATTTGAAGACCGATTTTGTTTTGATCGAAAACTACATGAAGCTTTTTCTTTTAACACAGTTCATTGTTTATTCTAAGCCAAAACGTAACGATGGTGTGTGTATCAACTTGGGAACACAATTTTTGTCGTCCAAGAGTCAAAGTTTTTTTTGGGGAAAAGATATAGTCTTTTTTCGCAATCTACAAATGACATAGCCCGCGGGGAGGAGGAAAAGACAAAGCATGTTGGTGACGCGAGGGCACAAAACTGGGCCAGGGAACAAAGCAAGCCTTGTTGGAAAGGCTGGTGCGATAGCAAATTCTTGTCAAACGTAATTTTTCTTGTAAGAAAGGGAACACATATCCTTCAAACTTTTGAATGAGCCTGCATGAGCGGTTTCACCTCCGTGTTGTGTTTAAGTTCTTCTTCGGAGTAAAGTGTCTTGTAAAACCTATGTGATAATTTCATACCATAGAATATTCCATGGTTGAAATGTATCAAATTTCTTATTTGCTGTTCTCGATGATCTATCCACTCTGTTTTGATTTTCATTCCTTTGGCACAGTCGTTCTGTAGGGCGGTTCGTTCCCGAGTATGTAACCCCCCCCCCCCCCTGCATGGCCGAAGTTCTGGGCCCTTTTCCTGTTTAAACAACCCTTGCTTCACGCTTGAAAAGATTACCTCTGATGATCTATTTCCTAATTGATTCAATCCTTGATGACAAGTTTCTGCCAAACAGTGCCAAAACGATTTTATAGCCTTCTGTCGAAGGCAATGATAATATGATGAAGCATTGACACGAATGAAGATGTCAAAATGGCAGCGTCTAGTCTCCAGGGTGACTCACTGACTGTTTAGTATCCCTATTTTCACCCAAAAGAGTCACATCATTTCATATTTCTTGATTGTTTCTGCAAAATACAAATAAATGTCACATTACATATCCCTGATACCTAAGTGTTAGCAAGGCCATTGTAAAATGTGCAAAACGTTCGTACATAATATCTACTGTAGGTAATTTCTATTTCCTGTCCCTAGATTCGATGCTGAAAGGTTATGTAACAACTGTGGGGCTTGGCGTCCTGGGGATGTGTTTGGTTCTGGAATTCTACGCAGGCGCTAGAATGTAAGTACATTATGTGTTTTCACCTTCGCTATGCGTTTGATAGTTGCCTTGGCTTAGAATATGTTGGAATTGCCCATCCATGGTTTATGTAACAAGTCTGTAGGATACAATACTCTGTGAAGCAACTGTGGCATTTGCGGTACCGGTGTTATGTTATGTTATGTGTTATGTTAAGTTTCTCTCTTCATACCGGTACCATTCGTATTTCTCACAAGACTCGAGCCACCGTCTCCCTAGCACCGCTTAGTTTCATACATACATCACCGTAAGTCTCGAGCTCATTTCTTTCAGTACATCAGCGCCCCCTGTAAGAACACGTCCCGCACGCCAAGAATCGCAGAGCCAGGATTTCATCCACCCGGTAGAGAAAGAGTGGGAGTTAAACAGAACAGCCCTGTTAGAACTTAGGTGAGGAAAGATTCATAGATTATCAACCAACGAATTATCAAATTATTTCCTGACACGAATCCATTCAAAGTGATCAAACTAACAAAAAAACTCCTTGAAGTGCGATATGCTACTAATCATTAGAAGACTAATCATTTCTGTCTCTATTATAGTATACAGTAACACAATATGCAGGTTCTTACAATGAACGTAACATTTTGATTTTTTTTTTTGCAAATTGTTCTTTTCATGGTTACTAACGTACCAAACTTTCAACACATTTAAGTTCTGCGTGAGTCATGATGTCGATTTGTCACCCTCTGCTCACAGACGTCGTCTAAAGCCGTTAGAAACAGCAGCGAATTTTGTACTGAGCCAAGACAGTCTGGCCAAGAAAAGGAAACTTCCGCTGATGTTCGAACGGACTCGGAAAAGACTGTACTATGTGAAAGAGAAGCATCTGAACAGTATGCCACAGGTATTCACAAGTGATACCCCTCAATGTAACTGTTTCACCTTAATGTATGTAGTCACGATAAAAAAGTACCCCCCACACGTGACAGAACATGCATGTGTGTGTGTGTGTGTGTGTGTGTGTGTGTGTGTGTGCGTGATTGCGTGCGCTTGGAGTGCTTCTACATTACTTCTATCTATATTATGTAAAGTCTTCGTCTGTCCTCAATCACAGGTCAGTCCTTTCGTCAACCGGTCGTTAGGAGTTTGTAGTTTGGTTGGCAACAGCGGCATCTTGACTGGAAGCAAATGCGGTCAGAAAATAGATTCCGGCGATTTTGTCATCAGGTAAGCTGTTATC